AGACAACTGCTTTCCAAGCCACTCAAAAGCCCCTGCACCATGACCTTTACATCCTCCTTTGGGCTGCCGTGTGTCCATACTTTGAAGAAGCTCGAGGAAGCAGGCGGAGCGTTGTTACTCGAGCATTTCCATCCCCATTGGCACTTGAAACGAGATATGTCAAGACCACATCCAATATTAGAGCCTAGAAAAGCCCCGAGCCTGCTCAACCAGAGACGCAAGCAGCCAGCAACTAGCACAAGGCGAGAGCCTAGCGCGTTCGAGACAATTGAGGCAGCAACACGTCCAAAGGCACTGCCGAAATGTAGCATGTGTCATACAATAGGTCACACAATGACGTCGAAGTCATGCCCCTTACGATATACAGAGCTCTTTCAGCCACCAGCCTCAGTCACCGAAATAACAGCACACACAACGAGCATCGTGGTATCAGATGCAGTGGCGACGACAGCCGCAGAGGCGACGACAGCTCATGCGACAATAGGTCAGAAAGACGAGCATCTCATGGTAGCGATGCAAGCGCCAACGGGCTACGTAAGAGATGACCAGGCATTAGAAGTTCAGGCGCTGGCAGATCGTGAGTCTGGTAGCCATACATCTACAGTTGAGACAGTGGCAGATTGCATTATAGTCAACTCGACAGTCGTACAACAGGCAGCGGTAGCCGAGTCATCAGTGGTGGGAAAATCAACTGCGCCAAAGCTCAGATACAACGACCCGCAAGCAATCTACCAGAGATATGTTGAGTCGAGACAGGCTTGGTACGATGCGCAGCCGCGTGGCAGTGTCAAGACTAACCAGCAGTATCGAAAGGCAATGGGTTTACCCCAGCGGTACAACAGGGCGGAGCTTGCTTGGTGCCTTGATTGGAAGCAGATGGGTAAGCAATGTAAAGAGCAAGAAAGGTCCAGAGACTGGACGAAGGAAGAAATGATGTCGTATCTAGATTGGGACAAGGCAGAAGAAGACCGGGTCGAAGCAAAGGTAGCAGCTGAGATGGAAGCGAATCCCTTTTCTGACAGACGAGGCATGGGTGACATCTGGGAAGCTGCGGCAGCGGACTGTGTGGCACAAGAGGCCCTGTATTTAGGCGAGTGAGCCACTAAAATTTAATCACTGACCACTGCGAAGGGGGCGCGGGAAGGGGGCGCGGGAAAATCAGTCAGCAGGGCGCGGCATTCTAAATCCGCGCCCGGGCGCGAATGTAGGGGCCGCCC